TAATTATTATAATTATTTACTGTTATCATTTAATGAGATATCTCATCCACCTTTAGCCAAACAAAGAGATTGGAGTAATAAGGATTTAGTTCAAGTGAAGTGTGTTAAGGATGAAAATTAAAAAATACTTTGTTTGGCTAACTTATACTATTATTATATATATAATGATAACAGTAAATAATTATAATAATTAGTAATAATAATAGAAACTATATTATTAGTAATTAATACAAGAATTTCTTTTTCACTTTTTTTAAAACATTCTCTTTTTTGTTTTTCCCCATCTTTTTTTTTAAAAGATACACACACAGATATATATATATATATATATATATCCTATATATATATCCGTGTGTGTGTGTATCTTAAAAAAAAAGGAAAGAAAAAAAAAAGTTTCAAAAAATAAAAGAAAGTGAAAAAGAGATTCTTGTATTTTTGTGCATCCCACTGTCATCGTCACCCCTTGCAAAGTTATAATTTCCCAACTTAAAAATTCTGTCCTCGACGCTTGCGACGAGCCGACAAACCCCCTACGCGCTCACCTAACGTAGTAGGGAGGGAAACTGATGCGACGCTCGCAACGAGTAGATAATCCCTGGAGTGCTCATGTAGCATGAAGGAGACAAAAAAATAAGTACCTCCAAATGCTCATGTAGTGCAGAGGATGGAAAAAAATTGTGTTATTTTAAACATGAACCCGAAGACCCTTAAACGCTCATGTAGCGGGCAAGGATTAAAAAAAAATGTAACCGTGGTGTCATTTGAAACTTACCTGAAGCGCTCAAGCAGCAACGAGGGGAAGGTTGCCTCTTGGTTTTCCCCTAAACGGGGGAGACGCCGGGAGGTTGCCGAAATTTCACTTGAAAATGCACAAGACTTGCACTTTATTTGGACATTAATTTGAACAACAAAGTGGACTGAATGCAAACTTCAAATATATTAAATATATAAAAAAAACTTGAATTTAAACTTGTACCTTGAACTTGATTCATATCAGATGACAATGACATAAATTGAACAATAGGAGACTCGAACGAATGGAAGAGGCTCATATTGAGCCTGAACTTTATTTGAACATATGGAGGACTTTCTTTGGACTCGAACTCGATGGAGCATAACATAAACTTGAACCTAATTGAATTTGTAATGATTTGAATATTGAAGCAAGGCTCCAATATTTTAAACTTGGATAAATGCAAGGAGCTTAAATCTGAGCCATATGGGACTTAAGCTTGAATGCACCACAAGAACTGGCATGTTGATGAATCCATAACCGCATTCAAAGGACACAAATGCTAATTAGAAATCTTGGTTATACAAACAAAACTAATAAGGAACTTATGCCAAGACTTCAAATGAATAAGAATTGCTCATGAGCAAATGTGACACTTCCGAAGAATCATTCTTCATATTATAAGCCACAGATAATGATAAAGAATTTGACTTCTTGAAGAATAATCAAGATGTCAATGGAACTATCGTTCCAACCAAAATGCAAGTGCTAGTTAAGAAACATGAGCCATTCAAATCTCACACATGCAAACTCTTGGTGAGGTTAGGGAAAATCCCTACATCTCATTAACCAGCAATTACAAACAATAAAGATTGATGTACAAGATGATGCAATAATTCTTCAATCGAAACTAATGATGGAGGAGCTTGATTGCAAACCTAGAATGATAAATCAAAGTGACTTAAACTCTTGAATCAAATTGGTATGCATGCAACGATCGAATGGAGAATATGACAACATGCCTATGATCAACATGTGCTTTTCTACCTTAACATGAATCGAAATCATGTTTCCTAGATCTCTTGCTATGATCACTTATGCTCCAAGTTACTTCTAATCATGCCAAAATTGATTGAGTCCTTTCCAAAGCCTTAGGTGTATATTTCCCTTCTCAAAATGAATCCAAAACATTCATAAAAGAATAAGAGAACTCTCTTTCACATATACACCTCTTTCATGCATAATGCTTGGGTTATTCTCAAACCTCTAAATGTTTGGTTGCATGAAACTTAGAATCTATTAGGAACTCTCCAATAGATCTTCTTCCTTCTCATATATGATGGTTTGGAGTATCTCAACTCTCCAAACATTGCATTATATTAATCATCAAAGTTTAGAAACAAATCCTAAACATCATTCTTCATTTGTTGATACACAAAAGTTGATAGATGGACTTTCCAATTCTTCCATGCAAGACATTTGGAGCCTCCCCTCTTGTTCTTTTAACCCAAGCTGGATGAAGAACTCTTTTCTTTGGACACCCAAAAGTCCAAAGAATCCTTTATGATGTGTAATCAAGCTTACATATCATCTTCCTATGTTTGCTTTATCCATGTTTTGCAAACTAATTATCCATCATTGAATATAAAATTCAATGATAATTCTTATTGATTTGCAACCCCAATTGTAATTCAATCTTCCTCACCTATTGAGTTAAAATCAATTGGTGACCTATCTTTCATTTGTCTAATCCAAATTAAGCAAATATATATTTCTCTTTGAATACAAAAAATTCAAAGAGGCCTCTTGATTTGTAGCGTCAAAGCTACAAGTCATCCCTCTTCTTTATTGGCTCCAAAAGCCTTAGAGAAATCTCCAACTCTCAGCCACCAAGTTATGAGTTTCATTCATTTCTCTTCTTAGCTCCAAAGCTAAGGAGAATCCTCCAACATCTAGCCTATAAGCTACAGGTTGGATATCTCATTCTTAACCTAAAACTCAAAGTATGCTTTCATTTAATAATTGATCTCTCCTATGACATTTAAAATATAACCTTTAGGCATCCTGTAGGAGTTTTCTATCTATTGAAGTTCATCGTACTCTATTGGGTGAATTTTAGCAAAACCTAAGTATAACCCTTAGGAATGCCTACTTTATCCTATTAGGTAGACATTTCTCTCTTATCCAAATATTAAGAGAAGTCTAAAAATCCTTTAAAATCACTTAGGTCTCTTTTGATATAATGATTGATCATTTCACCCAAAAGGCGGGATGCTTATATCATTATATCTTATGACTTATAAGTAGTAGGCTTGCCTAAAAGAAAACAATGGCTACTTTATGGATTCTTCATAACCCTCCTAAATATAAAATACATAAAAATTAAATAAAATCTTTAAGTCACAAACAACTTAAAGTGAAACCACCATTGATTTAAGATTAAACATTTTCATTCCAAAATAAAATCAAACAATTCTTGTAATGGCATGCCACAAAAGCCTCACACATTTTAATGCACAGCCATTTAGGCATCATATAATTAGGATTTTTATTTTTTTTGTGCATATGTTTAATGCTTTGGTGTAATTGTGTCTAAATTGTCTATGTTGTGGGCGTTTGCCCTTAAGTGGATAGTATAAAAATATATACATATTTTTCTTACAAGTGGTCATGTCCAGAAGGGCAGCGTAATAAATCATAAATGAGAAAGTGATTGATTTCATTCCAGGCAAGGCAATAAATCCAGAGGTCGGTCTCGCTATATCTTGTGTAAGGTGTAGTTTGTAAGTCCCTTGCATTCCGTTAGACTTTGGTTCGAGGCACTACCTCTTAGTACTCCTCACCTTAATTCTAAGGTATGATAAAGTGGTTGATTTCAATCCTCTCATAAGCCCTAACTTTTTAGGCATTTCCTCCAACACGTGTTGTTGGAATGTAAGGACCAACATTCTAACTAAAATTATCAACCTAAAAAAATTAAATTCTAAAATGTAAGGCTCAATATAGGATAGTTTGAGTGCCTCTGAGTTTCCCTCAGAATCAAGTACTCCTACACTTCGTTCCTTTAGCTCTCATTCCAAGAAATCTGATTTCAAGTTGATCCCTTCATCCTTTAATATTTCTAAAGACCAAAACTCATTGAACAAGATTTCATGGATTTTAAAATCAAGAGTTTAGCCAATATTTGGATTATTTAGAAGAAAGAAAATCACTACAAAAATTTTCTCAAGTACCAGAGATGTAATTAACCATATGAGCTTTCTTCTATTGGGCATCTGTACCCTAGAATAAAATAAATCATATTCAATCAAATATTGAATGGGAGAATCTCTATTAAAATTGTAAATTTTGTTATTGAGTTCATAAGGAAATGATATTTTTATCATTTGGGGTAATATATCATCTTTCTTATGTCGTACTCGATCATAAAATATGCAATCCATTGAGGATGACATATTCTCCAACAAAGATCTTCAGCCTCGCTTTAGACATTGGTTGTGATAATTGATGTTGTTGCTAAATAGTCTTCTATTACCCTGAAGGATCTCGGATTGAATTAATGATTGATTTTCAGGTTTCATCATAAACATAAAGCTATTTGGAAGAAGGGAAGACTGCCTTTGTACTATGATAAAATTTTAGTTAATATATTTGCCAAGTTACTGCAAATTGGTTTTTGAAATACTATTTTTGTCATTGAATCATCTCTATTTCTTTTTTGCAATATAGTTTTATTGATTGTTTTTTCTGGAAGCTTCTGAAATTTGATTGATGTCCAACATATTGCTTGGGAACACTACATTGTAAATTTTAATTTTGCGACACATCTATATTTCAAAATTTCAAGAATGAAATAATTCATTTGGAGTTCCTAAGTAAAGGTTGGAGTAGCTCCAATGGAAGATACGATTAGAGAGAGTCGTCTTAGATGATTTGGTCACATAAAACGATGGCCTTCCGATAACCTGGTTAGGAGAGTAGAGGTATAAGATTTGACTTACCTTAAAAAAGATAGTGGTAGACCTAAAAAAAACTTTGTTAGAAAAATATAACAAATGATCTTTCTTTATTAGATTTATATGAGAATTTGATTCTTAATAGGACACGATGGAGAAAAAGGATTCATGTAGCCGATCTCATGTAGTGGGATAAAGGCTTGATGTTGTTGTTGTTGGAGTTCATAACTAAGATTTTCATTTTTCCCAATTATTGTCCATGTTGGTTTAGTGACTAAAAAATTTGATATATTACCTTCCCATTCTGTTAGCAGTTCATACATCATTATCTTGGATCACGAGGATCCAAATTGCCCTAGATGCTGCTAGAGGTCTCGAATACATCCATGAGCATACAAAGAATCACTATGTTCATAGAGACATAAAGACAAGCAACATTTTACTTGATAGTGCCTTCAGGGCTAAGGTTTACTTTATAAACACTTACAATCCTTTTTTTTATCGCTTCCTTTATTGAACCAACTGCTATGAACAAATCTTTGTCCCTGCAGATCTCTGATTTTGGGCTTGCAAAGCTTCTTGTTCGAACTAGTGATAGGGAGGCTTCTACCACAAAAGTTGTTGGAACTTTTGGTTACTTGGCACCTGAGTAAGTTACAGGAAGATTTAGCTAATTTAGGAAGCTAAGGTCAAAAGCGTACCTTGTTTCCTGCAACTAATACCTGCAATTCTGCAGGTACTTGCATGATGGCCTAGCTACATCCAAAAGTGATGTTTATGCCTTTGGTGTGGTTCTTTTCGAACTGATATCAGGTAGGGAGGCAATAAGCAAGACAGAAGGAACGTCTACAGGAAAATCTCAAAGGCGCTCTTTGGCGTCAATTGTAAGTTCCGAGATTTATAGTAATAGTTATCAAACAGTAAACAGCTTGTACATTTTAAGAGATTTTCTAGCCTTCAGTATACTTACTACCTCTTGTTTATGCCATCTGCTTGATATGTTTTTTCTGCATTATTTTGTTCAGTTAATATATTAGGTCTGTTCTAATGTAGTAGCACATATTATACAACATTTTGAACTACTTATCTTGATGAGCTATTATTTATAGTTTAACTCCATATTTCATCCTTGTATCTGCGTTTCTATCATATCAGTGCCCTAGTTTGTGGATAAAATCCTTAATCAACCTGCGTTCCTGTGAACGACTATCAAACAGAACAATCAAGATGTAATTACAAGATAAACAATTTCTCCTTTCCCGTTAATTCCTTCGAATCAATAAAACTTTAGTGAGTCTAGTGATGCAGAACCATCATAATGGTTAGTGCTTTTTGTGCTGGTGGTCACTATATGTTTAAATCATAGCTAAAATATTACATTAAGCATGTTAGGTATGTATTAAGGACCCTTTTATGCCTTGGGAATATATGAAGCAATTGAATAATATTAAAATCAAACAATGGTTGATTTACTCCTCTCTTCTTCCTATCTCTTTTTAGCTTGTGTTTTCTCTCTCCCCCCACATAGAGTTGTGTAACCTTTTTATCCATCACCTGTGGTTGTCTACCCATTCCCTCAATTTTGTAATCATCATCTAAGTATCATTTTATTATGTCCTCTCTACATTATTTATTATCTGAGCAAGCTTCAATTCCTTATGAAAATGAATCCTGATCTAAACAATTTGTCACTTCTACAGTTCTACTTTATCATAAGACCATCCATGAAAAAGGTGCAAGTTCTTGCTCGCATCCTTCTTCCCCTTTACTTTTCTCTACTTTAAGCTTCGACAACTAAACATCACCTCAGTCATAAATTGCTCTACATTCAGCCTTTTCCATGCTAAAATGCTTCCTCAACACTATCGAGTGTCTTCTATTTGTGTATTTTTCTAATGTTTAGTTGTGTTTTTTTTGGGGCAACCCCCTAGCCGTTTTCTACTATGACATCATTTTATTTCTGTTTCTTCAATCCATCACCACCAAACCCATTTCTCAATGCCTTCCTCTTGTCGACCAATATAACCCTTGAGATGAATTTTGTTGGAGATTTTCTTTATTTTTTTGTGTTTTCCTCCTTTTCTACATCACTTCATATATTATTTATACCTTATTGTCTCACTGAAAAAATAACTTTGTTTCTTACAAAACTTGTACATACACAATGGTGTGCTGCCAATTTTTAGATTGAGGGTGCGTTTGGGACGGCTGCGGCTGTTGATAAAGTAGGTTATAAAATTATTGTACAGAAAGCTGCTTTCAAAAATTGATGTACAGAAAGCAGTATATTTTGTTTGGGAAGTATAACTGTCAAGTTGTTGTGCTGCAGCTGTATGGGAATATATTACCTTTATACCCTTATATATTAAGATGAAAAAAATGATGTAAATGTCAAATTTTTCAAAAATTTTATATGCTAATTATATTTATCTTCTATCTTACCGATAATTTTTTATTTTAATTATATTATCTAATAGTTTAATATAGTTCTTGAATATTTATTTATTTATTTTGAAAAAATAAATTATATTATCTAATAATTGAATATAACGCTTGAATATTTATTTATTTATTTATGATAAAATGAAGCAGGAAGATCATCGGCGCGCGATACTACCTTAAAGGCTACAAATTCTACTACGGCGAACTCAACGCTTCCTACGCCTACCGCTCTCCTCATGACCACGACGGCCACGGCACTCACACCGCCTCCATCGCCGTCGGCCGCCCCGTCTCCGCCTCCTTCCTTGGCAGCTTCGTCGGCGGCACCGCTCGCGGCGGAGCTCCTCTCGCCCGTCTCTCCATCTACAAAGTCTGCTGGCCCATTCCCGGCCCCAATCCCAACCTCCAAAACACCTGCTTTGACGCCGACATGCTCGCCGCCATCGACGACGTCGTCGCCGACGGCGTCGACATTCTCAGCATCTCCGTAGGAGCCAACGGAAATCCGCCGGAGTATGAGGCAGATGCCATTGCGTTAGGAACGCTGCACGCGGTGAAGAGAGGGGTGGTGGAGGTTTGAACGCTGCACGCGGAAGGCGACGGAGACGCCGTGTGGGTGAGAAGCGAATGCCGGAGACGGAGACGCCATTGTCCCGTGGAATTGCGGCGAGCATCGGACTGAAATCCTCGTCGCCGACAAGTTCGGGTCGCGGAAGGCGCTGAAGGGACAAAGGTCGCGAATATTTTGGGGATTTACGTCATTTTTCGGCGGAAGCAGCGGACCGCGGGACTCTGTAAAAGGTTGCGAAAAGCAGCTATGTGCCGCGAATTTTTTCTGCCGCAGTTCTGACGCAACGCCCCAAACGATCATTTAATAAATTTTTATAAAGCAAAGCAACAGTGACGCCGTCCCAAACGCATCCTGAGTTGTGAGTTAACTATAGTTAGCATTTCAAATCCCTAACATATCTTTGGAAAATTCTTAACTTCCTACCTAAATTCAATTGGCTTAAAATCTTGTAAATTAGTTAGCTAACATTCCAAAACTCTAATTTGGAAGTCCAAAGCTTTTTTTACCAAAGAAACTTAAAATTTGTTTGAGACATCTTCATACTACTTTCTTGCAACATTCTTACTATTTTTTTTAGAAACTTCTATGGTGCAAAGCTATTTTTTTATAATCAGAGTAATTAAGTTATTTTCTCCACAGTAACTTCACAATCAATTTTATAACACGCTATAATTGTCCCATAAAAACCCTTGGTCATACTCTTTATCATACCCCACAACAACCTCTTTGGGTCGACACAAATTGAACAGAGATAAATCCTCCTAACCATTTTATATACCATAAATGCTAAATTGAAAGAAGTGAAAATATCCAAAATTTACTAGTGTAGAAACATATTCATAATAAAATTTTCATCTATTAAACTATTGAGCTGCTAAAACTAATCATGTTACTTTTGTATATCATATCATCAAAAGATTTCATTTTGATTATAATAGACATACGGGCCAAAATTTTTATCACTATTCACCCACAACATTGCGCAGATCTAAATATGAAAATATGACTCTTATCTAGGCTCTACCTTATCTTTTCTTTTAGTTGAAATTATATTCAATATAATATGATATGAGTTAAGATTCAACAAGATAAATAATTTAAAGACATAATATAATTATTATAAAAATTTTATTTATACTCATATATTAGTCTAATTTATATGAAATCTTCACGTATGAAATATCTTAATTAACATCAGATGTGGGCTCAAAAAATTGGGCCCCGGCCTTCGCCTGCACTGATTTTGCTTTTTCTTCGACGAGGGGGAGTTTTAACCGACTTAAGTTCCAGGGTAAATTTTGGAAGACAGATGGGTTTGTAGATAAGACACTACTCAGAGATTTCACCCTCATTTTGCGAGGACTTTATGATATGAGTTCTGGTTTCCTATAGACGCCCTATAGTTAATTACCCCTCCCACTAACGAGAGAGAACTTTTGATTAAGGCTAGTCATCAATCAGATACGTAGAGTATACGTGTTATCTGGCATATAGTAGCAGCATAGGTTTGGATGTTGGAAAATTGAAGGTTTTATATTTAAAATATAAATTTCACCATCTAACACTTAAAGCGGATGGTGGGGGAATGGATGATAGACCTGATCAAGATCCCATGGTTCCGTCATCCTGGGCCATCGTGGTTCCTGGTCTACTTTGTCAGAGGAGGTAGTCGACCCAACATGATAGAAGAATCCTTGTCAGCAACCATGTGTTGTTTCGTCCAAGGGGACCTTGTAGACCTGGGGTGAATATTTGTCTAAGGGGATGTATTTGAATCCACCTTATAGCTAATAGAGGGCTTTGTGCCATATCGATTACATCCTATTGATTCATATCTCAAGGATTTGATGCACTAAGGAGCATATTGGCTCTGTCAATAATCGGTATTTCGTGGTGCCATTTGACAGCAAAATCACTCGGTTCAGAGGGCTCCGGGTCATAACCGTTTATCTTACGATGCCATTTGGCGGCAAAACTGCCAGTTAGATGACATGTACGACGTCCTTATTGGCAGAAGATTGTTTGAGAATGAATTCTAGTGATATTTTTGACTAGGCATTAGCTCTTTGTGAGCTGAAATAGTTTTTAAATTTGTCCACCTGGACAAACTGTTGCGGAGGGTGGATGGATTTTACTTTTAGTGTTTGATAGTGTTGTTTCAATTTTAAATATCTGGATTTGGGATTTTTGGATTTTTGGGTTGCATTTGAAAGTATTTGAATCACCCCTCCAGTTGAGATTTGCATTCAACACGACCATCATCGGGGTAACTTTGAAGTCATTTTCATTTGAAAGTATTTGTGAACCTTGTCGACCCTATCAACTTGCCGATAGGGGATCAAGTTTCGTTGGCTTTATGACCTTGAGAATGAATTTCTTTTGTTATAAGCCTTGAAGGCGTAATATGAATGTATAAGATAAATATTCCGTACGACTTAGTGATTGCATATTTATTCGATGATTCGAACCCTGTCCATTCCTATTTACCTGTTTAGGAGGATCGGGCTTCGTAGTTTTTCTGCCTTTATTAGCGAATTCTCATTGTTATAGGCCTTGACGGCCTAATATGAATGCAATAAAAAAATAAGATATACTTGTTTGTTGGTTAGAACCTTGTCGACTCCTATTGATCCGTATAGAAGGATCGGGTTTGAATTTGGATTCACTTATCAACCCGCGCAGCCTCTCTAGACGTCATATGTGTACCAATAACATGCTCGTCGGGGCCCATGCGGATTGTAATTGTATTTACCCATTTTGCTATATGTATACAAATTACGGTGCATGTGCAGGGGTACATTGAAATAATTATAGTTGTGCAGGTAACTGCCATTTGAGTGCTTATACACGCCTTCTGTCCACTACTATGAG